AGTAAATTCAACAGGACAAGTAAAATTATCTACTAAAGGAATAAGTGTGTTTTTCTTAATTCAAGCAACATTCGATCTTGTTTCTTATTTTTAAGTGTAAAAAGTTGTTGTTTTTTGTTGTTGTAGCAAGATGTATTTTCATATTTTAAGTACAAAAAGTCTTATTCCACTGGCAGATAATTTTATTTGTCAAGTGAAATTTACTCAAATCATAAAAAAAACTTTCTTAATTTAAGACATCCTGAATCACAGTGTACTCACAAGACATTACATTTACATTTTTTGTAATATATGTCTTTTAAAGTACATATTTTAGAGGATTATTTACAAAAAATGTTTTTGTTTCTTTGCTTTTGGTCATGTTACATCTCAAATCCAAACCAAAACCTTTATTTAACTCTTCAAAAACAGACCTGGAGTTGTGTTTTGTTTTGTGTAACTCTTTATTATTAGTTTGTCTGTATCTCCAAAGCTCAGAATGTTCTGTTCCACCTTGTGATGTCATGAAGTGGTAGTTTTCAAGGTAACAGCTCCAGAGATTTGCACACTGGAAAAAAAAAAAAAACAACAATCTGTAGGTAAGTTAAAATGACTTAAATTAAGAATATTTTACTTTATTTGAGTAAATTTTACTTGTCAAGTTGAATAATCTGTCAATGGAATAAGTTTGTTTTTCTTAATTCAAGCAACATTTGATTTTGTTTCTTATTTTAAGTGTAAAAAGTTGTTGTTTTTTGTTGTTGTAGAAAGATGTATTTTCATATTTTAAGTACAAAAAAAAAATCATATTCCACTGGCAGATCATTTTATTTGTCAAGGGAAATTTACTCAAATCATGAAAAAAACTTTCTTATTTCAGGTCATCTTGAATCACAGATGAGTAAATTTTTTATTTAGTTTATATTTTTAGTCTTTAGTTTCTTTGCTTTGAGTCACGTTAAATCTCAAATCCAAACCAACACCTGTATTTTCTGCTGTTTCCTGTACAGCTGTGTTTCCCGTCTCGTCCAGCAGGTGTCGCCCTTGACCCGGAGATGCGGCGGGCGTTCCTCTGTCCGCGTGCAGCTGCCTGTGCCGTGCTGCATGTAAACGGCCGCGACCACCCATGATCCACCGCGCGAAAGTCACACAATGTTCCAGCTGCCCCGGCCCCTCGCCCCTCGCCCCATTCACCCGCACAGTACACAGCCTCCTGTCTCTGTCTGCGCGCAAACTACCCGCAAAAACCTGAGGAAGAAAAGCAAAACAATGTCACATCTAACGCTCCTGTTCAAATCTGCTCTCACGTTTAAAGATACACTGTGTAACTTTTCCGTGAATGTACTTTTTTAGACGTATCTGCTTATTCTCTTGTAAACTATAGAAAATAATAACAACGTCAAGCTTCGTCAGGGTTTAGAGTCCGTTTAATCCAGGTTTTTGTTCTAATTTACGTCTAAAATAGTCCAGTTTTAGACCTGGTTTAGTTCTAGTTGAACTCGGAAGATCAATTATTTTCTGAAGTGGTAAAAAAGTGCGAAAAGTTTGAGAAAAATCTGAGCACCGGGCAGAAAGAAAAGTAACAATGTCAAGCTTCTTCAGGGTTTAGAGTCCGTTTAATCCAGGTTTTTGTTCTCATTTACGTCTAAAATAGTCCAGTTTTAGACCTGGTTTAGTTCTAGTTGAACTCGGAAGACCAAATATTTTCTGAAGTGGTAAAAAAGTCTGAAAAGTTTGAGAAAAATCTGAGCACCGGGCAGAAAGAGACGAATAACAATGTAATATCGAATGTTTCTGTTGTAATCATGTTATGTCATATTATGTCATGTTATTTCATGTTATTTCATGTTATTAATGTTATTTCTTCGTCTGAAATGTCCCGCAGTGTGTCATTACTTGTTTCCATCTTGCGATTTATTCACTTACCTTTATTTTACTGCTAAAAAATAACTTGCAAAAACCAAACAAACATGTATTTTTGTCGTAAGCGTCGCCGCCTCTACGCAGATCTGACCTGTAACTCCGTCTGGTGGCTTCGTCGTCTGCCCGTTGCTATGGAAATGAGCAAACTTGATGCCCCGTACCGCGGAAACTTCTCGCCAAAGCAGTCATATCGCCACGGAGACGAACCTCTTCCAGAAAAGTTACGCGGAGCAGCTTTAAATCAAGAATAACGTCTCTGAAAAGGCAATATCATCTTGGTTTTTTCGCTTTGGTTACCACGGCAACGAGTGATTTAAAAATGTTTTGTGCAGCGGTTTTTGAGACGCCCCGGGGCAGATCGGCGAAGACGTGGCTGCCGTTTTCGCGGCTGTGGACTCCACCCCCCCCCCAAGTTTCCGGGAACGGTGAGTGAAGTGTCTTGCCCAAGGACACAAAAGCAGCTCTCGATGTTATTAATGTGTGTTTTTGTCATTTATAAGGGCGATTAGTCGGGTTTGTGGAGACGCGAGCCCGCTCAGAGTCAGGAGGCGTGTTTTTTAGTGCAATAAAAACAGCAAAAAATAAAACAAAATACGTAAAAAGTTGTATTTTAGTGAATTTTTGAGCTAAAACGTTTGATACTGCAGCTTTAATGTTGCTTTTTGTTGATGTTTTCGTTTGCTTTTTAAGGGACACGGTGTGATTTTTCTAATGTAGGGTGGGTTTTTTTTCACTTACAGCAATGTTTGTTTATGTTTACTTGTGTGTTTATGTTTTGTTTAATGGGCTCCGGTAAAAATCGTCTGGAAAAATGAACAAAAACAGCGTGTACGAAAACATTTCTTTAACTGCCCATGTCCTGTTTACTCCCTGTTGTTTCTCCCATGCATGTTACAGGGTGGGTGCGCTTCACTGTTTGCATTGTGCCAGCCCCGGGACCCTCTCCACCCCTCCTTCACTCCGCTCCTCCTCTTTCTCTCTCTTCATCTCATCCCCTCCTCCTCCCTCCTCCTCTCATCCCTCGCTTCTTCTTCTTCTGTCTCTTCTCCACCCCCTTTACTCCTCCTCCTCCTCCTCTGTCCCTCCTCTCCCCCTTCTCTGTTGCATTATTTATTTTATCTCTTCTTTTCCTCTCTCCCTTCCTTCCTCTCCTCTCCTCTCCTCTGCTTTTCTCTCTTTTCTCTTTCTCTCCCTCTTTTCTACTCTTCTATCCCTTCTTTCTCTCTCTTCCTCTATCCCTCCGTCTGCTCTTTTATTTATTCTATCTCTCCTCTTCCTCTCCCCTGTCCTCTACTCATCTCTCCCTCTATCCCTTAACTATTCCTCTATTTCTCCTCTCTCCTCCTCTACTCCTCCATTTATTCTATCTTTCCTCTTCCTCTCCCCCGTTCTCTATTCCTCTATTTATTCTCTCTTCTTTTCTCTTTTCTTTTCTACTCCTCCTCTGTTTATTCTGTCTTTTCTCTCTTCCTCTCCTTTAACTGTTCCTCTATCCCTTCTTCTACCTCTCTATTTATTCTATCTCTTCTCTTCCCTCTTCCCATTGGCTATTCTTCTGCCCCTCTCCTTCCTCTTCCTCTATCCCTCCTATCTTCTTTCAACCCTTCCTCTACTCTTTCTATTCTATCTCTCCTTTTCCTCTTCCCCTTGACTACTCCTCTATCCCTCCTCTCTCTTCCTCTATCCCTTCTTCTATTCCTCTATTTATTCTATCTCTTCTGTTCCTCTCCCCCTTCCCTCCTCTACTCCTCCTCTATTTATTTTTATCTTTTCTCTTCCTCTAACCCTTCCTCTACTCTTCTATTTATTCTATCTCTCCTCTTCATCTGCTCCTCTATCTCTTCTTTCCCCCTTCCTCTATTTCTCTATTTATTCTATCTTTTCTTTTCCTCTCCCACTTCCTCCCTCTACTCCTCTTTTCTCTTCCTCTATCCCTTTACTACTCCTCTATTCCTCCTCTCTCTTTCTCTAACCCTTCCTCTCCTCCTCTATTTATTCTATCTCTCCTCTTTCCCCCTTGACTCTCCTCTATCAATCTCTCCTTCTTCCTCCATCCCTTCCCTACTCTTTTATTTATTCTTCCTCTCTCCCTTTACACTCCTCTATCCATCTCTCCCTCTTCCTCTTCTCCCTCCTCTCCCCCTTCAGTGCTCCTCTATCCCTTCTTTTCCCCTCCTCTTCTCCTCCTCTTCCTCTGCTCCTCTACACCTCCTCTCCTTTTTCCTCTCCCCCTTCCTCTACTTCTCCTCTATGTATTCTATCTCTCCTCTTCCTCTAACCCTTCCTCTACTCCTCTATTTATTCTATCTTTCCTCTTCCTCCTCTACGCCTCCTCTCCTCCTTTCTCTACTCCTTGTCTATTCATTCTATCTCTCCTTTTCTTCTCCTCCTCTATACCTCCTCTCCTTTTTTTCTCCTCTCCTCCTCCTCTATTTATTTTCTCTCTCTTCTTCCTCTCTCTACACCTCCTCTCCTCCTTCCTTTACTCCTCTATTTATTCTATCTTCCTTTTTCTATTCCTCTCCTCCTCTCTCCTTTTCTCTACTTTCCTCTATTTATTCTATCTCTCCCTTCTCTACCTCTACACCTCCTCTCCCTCTTCCTCTACTCCTCCTCTATTTATTCTATCTCTCTCTTCTTCCTCTAGTCCTCTACACCTCCTCTCCTCCTTCCTTTACTCCTCCTCTAGTCTATCTCTCCTTTTCCTCTCCTCCACTCCTCCTCCTCTTCTACTTCTCCTCTGTGTATTTTATCTTTCCTCTACCCCTTGACTCCTCCTCCACTCCTCCTCCTCTTCCCCTTCCTCTCTCTTTCTCTACTTTATTCTGTCTCTCCTCTTCCTCTCTCCCTTCACACCTCCTCTCCTTTTTCCTCTCCTCCTCCTCCCTCTACTCCTTCCCTATGCGTTTTATCTTTCCCCTCTTCCTCCTCTCCTCCGTCTCTCCTTCCTCTTCTCCTCCCTCTATCCCTTTAACGCTCTACACTTTCTATGTTCTCACACACCTCCCCTTCATCTTCCATACACGTTACAGGGTGTTCAGTCCAACCCTTGTGCCAGGCCCGGGACCCTCCCCTCCCTCTCCCTCCCTCTCCCTCCCTCCTTCCCTCCTTCTCTCCCTCCTCCCCTCCAGGAACCTGCCTGTTGCTTCTCATCCCACCAGAGCCCAACCAAACCCTCCTTCGCTCCCCTCGCGCTCACTTCAGCTGTGCCTCTACCAGCTCTCGTCCAAAAACGATCTCTCCGCAAACTTTTCCTCTCACTCTCTTTTTTCTCTCCCGTTTTTTTTTTTTGTATTATTATTACAAGACTCCCCCTTTCAAGGACATCCCATCAGACATCTCTACCGGACGGGACCTGCTTCTTGAACGTTTCTTTAATCCTTGGAGAAAGAGAAGAGATTCGGAAGACAGGATGAAGTTCCAGCTGTTGATCTTCTTGGCTGTGGCCGGCCCGTTCTACGCCGTCACGTTTGCAAGTGAGTGATCCATTTATCAAGCTGTCAGCGCTGGCCTCGGTACACGGTGTCCACTAGAGCCTCGCTCACACGTCCATGTGCCCACCAGCTCATACACGCCCTTTTGTCTAGCCCCCTTCCTGCCCCCGCTCTTCTCACAGAAACCTACAAACTTTTATTTATTTAGTTTGTTTTAATCCCGCTTTATTTCTCGCATCACGCCGGCGTTCAAAGGGTTAAGTCGTGTTCGCGGATTTAAGCAGAAGTCAAGAAGGTTCCAGGTGTTTGGGGGGGAAAAAGTTTGAGTTTTGATGGTTGCTTTTCGTGATTAGAATTAAAATTTTTCATTGAAGTGTTTAATATTCGTGTGCAAGTTTGAGTTTAAGATGCTGATTTGATAAAGGTGTTAAAAAGTGGCCAAAATTCTGTCTCCAAATGCACTTACCTCGAGCGTAAAGGTGCATTCTGTAACTTTTCTAGTCTAGGATCTGTCACTTGACTTTATTGCTTGCTCTGAAATGTTCCACAGTAGCTTTAAACGAATCAATCTCGCATTTCCTCAAATCCAGGTGTTTTTTATTTCTTAAAAAAACACGAGCGGGGGGATCGCCTCTCCGCAGATCTGACGTGTGTAACTTGGCTCGCCGGTGTTCAGTGGGATGCTTCGGAGCGTTCTGGACGAAGCGATAACATCACCATGGAGACGAGGAGATAACGGACCCTCACGCAGTGCAGCTCTAACTTGTTTATAAAATTTTGTTGTGAAGTTTTCATTTTAAAAGTGCGTCGTGTAACTTTCCGTCGAGCGTTTTTTTTTCTCCGCGGAGATGTTATTCCTTTGTCTGGAATGTTTCGCAGTATGGCATTAAGCCTTTCTGTCTGCATGGAAACCAAAGCAAGACCAAGTTACAGGTCAGATCTGTGGAGAGGCGACCCCGCTCACCAGTCAGAATGAAAGTTTTTTGAGGTGTTTTTCAGCTACGAATCCACCCGTGATTGAATAAAAGTAAGAAATAGAGCTGTTTAAAGTCATACTGTGGAACATTTCAGACAGAGCAATGGCGTATCCATAGAAACAAGCAGGTGACAGACCCCTCCAACCAAAAAGTTACACAGCGCACCTTTAATTCGCCCAAGAACGCTGAAAACGCGCTACAAATTCAGCAAAAACGACTTCGAATTTCCAAACTTTGCTGCTTCAAATCTTCAAATTCAGCTCCATTTTCAGTGTAATTCTTAAAACCACGAGCCCCGAACCCTCTAATGTTTTATTACGACCCGGTTGTTACTTGCCAAATAGTGAACTCCAGCACAGAACTCCAGTAAATCTCGATGACCTTCTCTTTTAAACTGATGTAACCAAGCACTGCAACCAACATGATTCTATTAATACATTTAACCGGCTTTATCCAGAAAGGGAAAACACGAGTTAATATCACCAAACGGGTCTGGGATTTTGAGTTAACTTAACATTTCTGAGTTCAAAATGCTTGGTTTTTTTGGGCGCCAGCAGTAGAGATGAGCAAAATGGAGCTGAGAATCTGAAATTATAAACAGTTTTTGTTTATTTATGTGTTTTTAGAGTACATTTATAAAAGTATTTCTCCGGTTTACAGTTGTACAGTACATAGACACGCCCATTTTAACACTTAGACTGTTACACTGAAATCTGTGAACTTTTTCTAAACATATATTTAACCGGCTTTATCCAGAAACAGGAGTTAATATCATGAAATAGGTCTTGTATTTTGAGTTAACTTAACGTTCCTTTGTTCATAATGGTCAAGTTTTTTGTTTACCAGCAGCAGGGAGATGATCAAAATGAAATTATGAACTATTATCGTTTATTTCTGTGTTTTTTGTGTACGTTTCTAAAAAGATTTCTCCAGTCTATAGTTGTACAGTACATAGACACGCCCTTTTTAACACTTAAACTGTTACACTGAAGTCTGTGAACTTTTTTAAAACTTAAGCAAGAAAGGAAAACTGGAGTTAATATCACAAAATAGGTCTTGTATTTTGGGTTAACTTAATATTTCTGAATTTAAAATGGGCTTTTTTTTTGCATACCAGCAGTAGAGATGATCAGAATGGAGTTGAGAATCTGAATTTATAAACTGTTAATGTTTATTTATGTGAATTTAATGTAAGTTTCTAAAAAGATTTCTCCGGTTTACAGTTGTACAGTTTGTAGACACGCCCTTTTTAACACTTAGACTATTACATTGAAGTCTGTGAACTTTTTTTAAACATATATTTAACTGGAAAAACAGGAGTTAATATCATGAAATATGTCTTGTATTTTGAATTAACTTCACTTTTTTTAGTTCAAAATGGGCATAGTTTTGGATACCAACAGCAGAGATGATCAAAATGGAGCTGAGAATCTGAAATTATAAACAGTTTTTCTTTATTTATGTGTTTTTAATGGATGTTTCTAAAAAGATTTCTCCGGTTTATAGTTGTACATTCTTAGACACGCCCTCTTTAACACTTAGACTATTACACTGAAGTCTGTGAACTTTTTTAGACGTAAAAAAAGGAAAAAACAGGAGTTAAAATCACAAAATGCGTCTTTTATTTTGAGTTAACTTAACATTTTTGACTTAAAAATTGTGGTATTTTTGCGTACCAGCAGCAGAGATGATCAAAATGGAGTTGAGAATCTGAAATTATAAACAGTTTTTCTTTATTTATGTGTTTTTAATAGATGTTTCTAAAAAGATTTCTCCGGTTTATAGTTTTTAACACTTAAACTATTACACTGAAGTCTGTGAACTTTTTTAAAACATTTGAAAGAAACAAAAAATTGAGTTAACATCATGAAATATTTCTCGTATTTTGACTTTAAACATTTCTTCGTTAAAAATCGTCTTTTTGTAGAGATGATCCAAATGGAGTTGAGAATCTGAAATTATGAACTGTTTCTGTTTATTTTTGTGTTTTTAATGTACATTTTAGTTTTACAGTTCGTAGACACGCCCATTTTAACACTTGAAGTCTGTGAACTTTTTTTTAAACATGCTCATTCTGCAGTATCTTTGCCATTTTTTTGTTTTGCGTTATAATTTTGTGCGTTTTTTATTTACATTTCATTCCCATCCGTAGATCAGACGTGTATATTTTCCCGTTTAATAATTCATAAAGTGGTTTTTGTTTAGTTTTTTTCTCTGGAACCTGTTGACCCCGTCGCTCGTTCAGTCTCCCGCAGATCCACTGTACGAGATGATTTCAGCAGACGTTTCCTCGATCATCTCATTTTTACACTGTCGCCGGTCCAAGTCTGTCTGCGCCCGGGCCAAACTTTGGTGATTCTCGGCACGAGCGAGGGAAGACGGAGAGATAGAGAGAAGGAGAGAGGGATGGAGAGAGAGAGAGAGAGTGTGATGTAATACGGCACAACTCCACAACTGCAGCCGAGGATTCTTGGCACGGGACAAAAGAGCAGAGCAGAATATCCTCTGGAGCGCGACCAAAGACCAGAGCACGAGAAAAGAGAGGGGGAGAAGAGAGGGAGAGAGGGAGAGAGGGAGGGAGGGATAGAGAAAGAGAGAAGGGAGAGAGGGAGAGAAGGGAGAGAGGGAGAGAAGAGAGAGAGGGAGAGAGGGAGGGAAGAGAAGAAAGAGAGAAGGGAGAGAGAGAGAGAGAGGAGAGAAGGAGAGAGGGAGAGAGAGGGAGAGAGAAGGAGAGAAGAAGAGAGAGGGAGAGAGGGAAGGAGGGAGAGAGGGAAGAGAAGGGAGAGAGGGAGAGAGAAGGAGAGAGGGAGGGAGAGAGGGAGAGAGAAAGAGAGAGGGAGAGAAGGGAGAGAGAGAGGGAGAGAGGGAGAGAGAGGGAGAGAGAGAGGGATTGGGGAGACAGAGAGAGAGAGAGGGGGAGAAGAGAAGGAAAAGAAATGGTAAAAGAGGCAAGGAGAGAAGGAAGAGAGAGAGAAGGAAGGAAGAGTGGGAAAGAGGAAGAGAGAGACAGAGGAAGGGAGAGATAGAAGGAAGAGAGAGAGATGGGAGAAAGAGAGAGAGATGGGAGGAAGAGAGGGAGATAGAGAGAGAGAGAGACAGACAAAGAGAGGGAGAGAGAGAGAGGAAGAGAGTGAGATAGAGAGAGAGAGATAGAAGGAAGAGAGAGAGAGAGGGGAAGAGAGAGATGGAAGGAAGAGAGGGAGATAGAGAGACAGGAAGAGAGAGTGATAGAGAGAGAGAGAGAGAGATGGAGAGGAAGAGAGAGAGAGAGAGATGGGAGGAAGAGAGAGAGAGGGGAAGAGAGAGATGGTAGGAAGAGAGAGAGAGAGAGATGGAAGGAAGAGAGAGATAGAGAGGGAGAGAGACAGAGAGAGGAGAGAGAGGGGGAGACAAAGAGACAGAGGGAGACAGAAAGAGAAGTAAGTGGGAGAGAGAGACAGAGAGGAGAGAGAGAAGGAGAAAGAGAGATGAGGAAGAAGAGAGAAAGAGAGAGACAGAGAGAGGGGGAGACAAAGAGAGAGAGGGAGACAAAGAGATGTAAGAGGGAGAGAAAGACAGAGAGAAGAGAGAGGGGAAGAAAGAGAGATGAGGAAGAAGAGAGAAAAAGAGAGACAGAAGAGAGAGAGGAAGACGAGAGGGAGAGAGAGACAGAGAGAAGAAGAGAGAGAGAGGAGGAGGAGAGGGAGATCGAGAGACAGACAGAGAGAGGAAAGAGAGTGAGAGACAAAGAGACAGAAAGAGGAGGAAGAGAGGGAGAGAGAGACTGCGAAAAGAGAGGAGGAAGAGAAGGAGGCAGAGAGAGAAGGAAGAGAGAGGAGGAAAAACTAGAGGAGGAAGGGAGAGAGAGAGAGAAAGAGAGGTAGAGAGGAGGTAGAAAAAAAAGCAGATATGAGGAGAGAGGAGGGGGAGACAGAGATGAAAAGTAGACAAAGAAGAGAGAGAGAGAGAGATTAAACTACCAAACCCACAGACGTGTACTTCACAAGTTGCCGTCGGTGTCTCAGGTTTCTCTCCTTGTAAATAATTGGATTTTCTCTTGGCTTTCTCCGTCTGTTTACAATCTTT